GGGAAGGGACCCCTATCCGAACCTGTGGTTTTTCCTCTTTGGTTTCCTGTTTGAACCACCCCAAACAAGGGCACCATTAGGATAAACGGGTTCCGAGGGCTTGCAAAGGGCAATCATTTGTAGCATCCCAGTTTGTTAGAGCCCTGAACGTCATGGGCTCCTCCGTCCTTTAGTTTGCTGACTAGGCGTTTGGGTCAACAACCCTTTCGACGCGTCGGGGTCTGTCTTGCCCTTTCTGGGGGTTGGTTTGAAGGAACGTGGGAGACCATATCGGAATATTATATCCTAGAAAAAGCACATGTGACTCTCGAAAGGCTGAGCGACCAGTTCGAGATGTACTCGGGTGAGCTGATGTTGGAGGGCAAGGAAGATGACCTCTACCAGCGAACGCTGCCGCTGAGGATTGGGCTGGATCCTTCTCCACCCTCTTGTCCCACCCTCTTTTGCAAGAACCCATGCTCTCGCCCCAGTGACCCTAGTGTGGGCTCAAGCCAACGCCAGGATTCCCTGATCCCAAAGCCCTGAACCATGAGGAGGACATTCGGGGAACTGAGTCCAGCCGTGTGAGAGCGTGCCTGGAGGAATGTCTCCTTGCAGCAGGCAATCCCTACGTCAGATCTGCGGACTCCCTGGAAGAGCGTGGGCTACCTGCACAACAGAGGCTCAGAGCTCAGAGATGCAGGGAGTGTCGAGAAACTGGCTGCAGTGGACAAAACCTTGAAACCACATACCATCCAAATGCACCCTGAAGTTGGTTTAAGTCCGGCCTGGTGGTTCAATCCCTAGGTCAAATCCTGCTGCTGGACAGGGATGGCAGGTCGATTGTGGGTCACTCGCTGCGGCCGGGTAGTACGCACATCGAGACCCATTGGCCGCTCAGCGACAGCCTCCCTCAGAAGCTGGAGGCTGGACTGAGATGCCTAGCCTTCCATAGCCTTCGCGCCATCCTTGTTCTCCGCAAGGAATCCCTTGTCAGGCATCCTGACCTCCTTTCTAGTCACGGCCTTGCTGATCGCTTAGTGTGCATATTATATGAGTGCCAGCCTGTTCGTGCTCTTGTCCGGTTTATTTCCTGGTGGCTTGTGGGCAAAAGCCAAGGGGGAGGGGCCATGGCCGGAGCCACGGGGGCTGTCACTTCGCGCGAGGTGATCCAGCCGGTGGAGGGCCGCGGCGCCCAGATCTGCAGCTCCCGGGGCTCGGGGTTGATGAACATGGGCTGGGCCTTGTACGCCTCCACGGACTCGGGACAGGCCGAGAGAGGGAGAGGGAGCAGCGCCGGCGATGTTGTTCGGCCGCTTTGTGCGATACCAAGGACACCCTGGAAAAACAAGAAGCTGTGATAAAGTCAGGGTGGCTAACTTTGGTATCATAACGGGGTCCACCCTCCCGCAATTTTCAACTTGGACCTCCAAAGGTAGGAGAGAGTTCTCATCAGATTGCAACTGAAGGGACATCAACTATTGGGGGTACCTTGAATGCGAAAGGTGGGAGGGAGATCTGGGATGAACTTGGCTCCTTGAAGCGACTGTAGGCTGACTAGGATGCCCACGAACTAGATCCCAGACAGTTCAGCCATCTTATCGTTGGAAACATATTATACAAGTAGGAACGCACCCAAGTTCGTTAAATTTTGTGTGTGTGTGTGGTGCACAAGCGGCCAAGATCACTGTTGTGCAGCCGTCAACGACACATGGCAATGTCTCGCAAGATTCCCCCATTTTGCTTTCAAGTCGGGCAGCTCGTTGGAGGTAGTGGTCTTGTGCCCCACGGCCGAGCGCGTTTTGCAACCGCTGCACATGGTGGTGTCGCTGCGCCGGAAGCAAGCCTCGATGCTGCTCGTCAAGATTTGGTTTGACTCATGAACCCCAAAAATGAATATCTGTAAAAAGGCCGCCCTCACCAAAGCGACCCCCCATGTGCTCCGTGCGGCTGGTTCTGCTCGAGGGCATCACCAATTTTGGGAAACACCTAGATGGGAACTGTCTGGACCATGGCAGGATCAAATGAAATCACAGCGGCCACTTACAAGCACCCGCGCAAGCAACCTTGTACGACACAGGGATTCATGAAGATTTATAGAGTCGCTCAATTGGTGAGTTTCATTTGGCGGCGGGCAGAGAGAGTCGAAGAGCCAAGGTCCATCATGAAGCTGGTGGATTCCCACACCGGCAGAGTGAAGCTGAAGCTCGGCTGAGCTCGTGCTGCTTAATAGGGCCCAGGAAGAAGATACAACCGGACAACGAATCTTCGCTATGCGTGACAGGCATGACAGGCATTCTGGAGTGTGCTGTTTGGTTCGGATGCATCTGCTCTTGTCGCCACCAGCTTCCCGGCAAAGTCCATCCCACAAAGGCGAGGAATGAATCGGAATGAGCCTGAGGCAGCGGGAAAAGATTATCGGCGTGCAGAAGGACGTCTACGAAGGCCTGAGCAGTGCTCCATCTTTGCTCTTGCTCCAGTGTTTTGCTGGGCCATGTTTATTTCGGCGTAGTTGGGATGTTGCTTCCAGTATCAGTCCAACGCTACGGTTAGAACTCCAAAGTTGGCTGAACTCGAGCCTCCCTGGCTCTCTGCTGTCCAAAACCTTTCCAGGAAAGAATCCACGACCAAATCTCAGGTCAAGGTGGGTTTTTGTGTTGAGGGGGGCGTTTCAAGGGAAGCAACCAAAAACCACAAGGACTTGAGGGTCCTTCTTGAGGCCCCATTCTCACAATGGCGGTTCTACTTCCAGTTTCCGTACACCGGGTAAGTTCTTACAAAGTACCCAGGGTTTTCCCTGTTCGTATATCCCTACACCGACCAAGCCCTTATGCCCATTACGATCTTCATGGCTCCAAAGAAAGGCGTCCTGTGGATCATGGTCTCCACCACGGAGGGCCTCACCGAGATCCGCGCCTGGGACGCTGCCTACGGCCAGGTGGGGCGCTGGTGGCTGCCAACTGGCCGGCGCTGGGCCCAGGGCTTGTGCGCCCTGGCGCGAAGTTCTCGAAGTTCTCCCGAAGGGAAAGGGGAAGAGGATCTCTTTCCCTCTAACCTGAAGGCTTTCTCAAAATGTATCCCTTTGGTTGCTCCCAAAATGCTGGCCCCTCTTTGGGGAAACCAAACAAAAACCAACCGTCTTAGGGGGGCGGGGGCGATTTTGAAAACCGCCTGTGTTGGGCCCGTGAACCACAAGTCGAAAACGAGGTCAAACAGGCTTGGGGTTGTGAACACAGGGTCTCTTGGCGAGTTTGTGAGCAGCTTTCAGCTGACAGCCATCCACAAATGGGAAGCACGCTTCCCGAGCAGCTTCTCTTTTCTGACATGTTTTTCTCACTTATCGCTTTCTCTCCGCGAATGATACTCCTCAACGCGTCCAAAAAGGCATGCTTGTGATGTCAACTGCTCGTGCATGATGAGATATTCATGACGGCTTTTTGTTTAATAGAACGACTTCCTTTCTTTGGCCGCACCTTGCTTCTGGATCCCACTGTGAGGCTTGCTGGGTCCCAACCAGGGCCTTCTCATGGCGGCGGCGGACGACTCGGGCACCGCAGGCAATGCGGAGCTTTGGAGGATCATCCCTAAGCTTGGGAAGAGGAGCACCGCGTGAATCCGCAGCAAAGGGTGGGGCACAAAGTCAGTGCTTCTTTCAAGTGCCTCAGAACGTGTTCGACACAGGCAGAGCTTTCTGTTGACAGCCCCATCCTGCATGAGCTTAGCCGGAGTTTGCCTCCCTGCAATGTGCTCGAGGAATGTTTGGAAGTCAGAACTCTGTGAAGAGGTGCGACATTCAGGGGGAGTGGAGAGGCCAAAAGTGCCTATGGGCGATCTGTGCGGTGCGCTGCCCCCCCTTCCAGTGATTCAGTTTTCCAGCAAGTATTTTGCTGGAAGCGGTGGGGAAGCGTTCTGCGGCTGCCCAATCGACCTGTAACTGTTTGATTTCAATATGCAGAGACAGTCGATCTGTGTTTTTCTAATGTCCAGCGGAACCTGTGCCCGGCCACGAATAAGACAGCCGCGACCTTTTAAAACGGAGCTCTGCCAGGGTTCAGGATTCCCTGCTCGAGGTACAGCGAACATGGACGTTGCTAGCGTTTGATGACCTTGTCTCGCGATCACACAGGGATACTCATGGACTTATTCCAAGTCCCTAGGACATGTTGAATTTATACTGGTGGTTGTGGCTAGCTTTGATCCGTCAAAGTGTGATTTCTTGATTCGCTGGCGACAAAGGTGTTCTGAGGAGATCGGACCACCTGGTTTTCTGCTGCTTTCTTCTGCAATGACAGGAACGTATCATTGAGTTGAACCAAATGATCTGAGAAAGGGAGCTGCTCAAAGAAAATGTCGAATGTACGGTTGAGGTCCTCGCGGCAGGGCTGTGGTGAAAGCAATAAATTCTAGATTGTGTTTGACGAGATGCCAACATGAGGTGATTTGCATGGTCGTCCCAGCCTACTGATACTGTAGGGGACCTGCGCAATGAAGCTACGCAAGGAGCTGGCGCAGACCAACAAAGAAACACGGCAACGGTCGACAGTTCAGTTCCGCACCATTGCTGAAGGCCTGAACAAAACAATGTAGTCAGACATGCTTTGAAGCCATGACCAATAGAAGAAAGAACGGGTGAGTAGTTGCTTTGCTTTGCGTTGGCGCCAGGAAGTACCTCAGTGCAGGGGAACCAGACACCACATTCAACACATGCCGGGTGGCGCGTTTGTTCGAATTCTCACTGCTGAATTCAGGGTGGAATTGCATGGTCGACATGCGCCCTTCGCAGCCTGCATGGCTTTTGCCATGTTTAAGCTACTTTTGTTGGCTGCTCAACGTGCTTTGGGGTTTGCGCAGATTGGGCCTGATTTTGGCGGTTCAGCCCACGACTATTTTCGTTGTTTATAAGTCAGCAAAGCGAACCTGGTTTCAATCAAAAGCCAAATGCAAGAAGCCATGCTTATTCCATCAGAGAAGAAACCCGAAGGGAGTACACTTACAATGCAAACTCCACAACTATTGTCCAGGACATCAAACGCTACCTCAAGCCCAACGCAGAGGGCTTGGATGCTTTCTTGAATGGTCAGGCAGGATTTGCCACACAGCCGTCACATTCTAGTCACTACTAGTCGAGAGAATGAGTGTCATACGCAGTACAGCAAAAGCTTTTTTCTCCCATACCCATCCAATTGGGCGTGTCCGCCAGGTGCTGTGCCTGGTTGCCCTGATTTGCTGGTACCTCATGGTTATCAAGGAGGCACCTGGGCTGATTCGCATGGGTGCGAAAGCCGGAATGCCACGACGTCAATAGGCTTTCTTGGGCGCTGAAGCGTAGGAATGAGAGCTCACCACTTGGCAAGCGTCCTTCGGGCAGGGACTTTGGACCTGCGCCTCTCAGATGTTCAACCGGGCGCAAAGCTTCGTGAGAACATACGAGCAGGGTTCAAAACGACTTTGCATTTTGATTGAGGGGGCGTACGTGAGCGTGTTGCGCAAGTGCGAGTGGCGTAAGCCACCCGTGTGCTCGCGCAAGCTCGCGTAAGCACAGCGCAAGAATTCCTCACGGCCTAGATTTGAGTAGTTTTGAATGCCGCTGTGGCCTGGCAGGAAGGCCGGATGTGGCAAAGTAATCCTGTGGAGCATGTGAAACTTGAGGCTGGCTTGAAGTTGGAAGTGGCATCCTTCCCCCTGGATTTCCGGGTGCCTGGGCTAATGCTGACCCCATATGAATCAACCGCAGTTTATTGACGGGGTGGTCCCCTTCAAAAGTGACGATTCCCCGCCAAATTCAGGGACAACCCCCTATGAATAAACTGGGGTTGATGTGGGGCAAACATTTGGCACAGGCAGATTTGGGCCCATGCCATAAACCAATCATATCTGAAGGGTCTTCCGCTTTTCTCATGACTTCCCAGCTGGCTCGGAACACGTTTTGAGGTGAGCCACGCGCTGGCGCTGCACCGGGGCATCTCGGCGGTGGCATCCGGGCCCAGCAGACTGGAGCCCAGGGAGAACCCCTTCACGCAGGTCACCCACTACCGGCTGCCTGGGAGCAGAATTACGGGCAGGGCCACAGGGCCCTCGGTTTTGGTTGGGAGCCGCTGGGCGCCTCGATGCGGCTGCCGCGTGGGCCAAACTTGGAGCCGAGGCTCACCTCCATCTCGCCCATGCGGCGCGCCTGCAGCGGCATGCTGCTGCTCTACCGCCTGTTTGCCGCGGTCTTGCTGATCTACGTGGGCACCGTCTTCCTGGTGTCTTGCCTGCACGGGCTGTCTTCCCTAGGGTTGGCTTGAAGCAAGCCAACTATCACTGTGCTGATTGTATGTGATTTTCCAGGTTCACAGGGGAAACATATGAAGCCGGGAGCTTTGGAACCCGCTGGTAACCTGCCGACTGGTTTGGGGCACGGGCATCTGGCGCCCAGCTTTGAGCCAGGTGTATACAGTTAGCGTCACTGACCTCATCCTCAATGCAGTGGCACTGGGAATCATCCTTGAGATCGATGACCTGATCTTCGATGCGCAACTCTGTCCGTTTTGCGGGGGGGGTGATAATCGTGGCATTTTGCCAGGGCTACGTTGCAGTCCTCCCAGATTTGCCGGATTCAAGGCTAGCGACCACCCCTGGGCGGCACCTGGTGCACCACTTGGAGCCCTTGCCCATGCCATCCTTCCCTCGCTGGAGAGGAGTGCCTCAACGAAGCAGAAGGCCAAGTGGAAGAGACGTCTCACCGTTGGCTTCAAGTGTCCTTTTTGGCGGGTACAGGGGAGAGAGGGGCTTTGTGCAACAGCCCGTGCACGAGTCGGCCCGTCAACCGACGTGCGCGACGAAGAACATTTGCTCAGGCAGAAACCACTTTCACGGGAGAGCATGTTCTTAAAAAGCCAAGCAGACATTCAAGGGCGTGTTCAGTTGGGCTATGCCAAGGATGATATGCGGAACATGAATTCAATGGGTCATTGGCTTCAGTTGGCCTGAAAGGAGCTGACGTGAAGTCACTCAGCATGAGCCTCCTGATACCTGGACTGGTTTGTTGCCTGGCGACACTGGCAAGGCTTTTGTTTTTCAGGTGGTTTGATTTTGCAGGTCGGGTTCAGAGCAGCCATTCGATTGATACGATTGACGATTACACTCCCTGGAATTAAACAGGAAGCTCCGAAGCCTTTTTTTTTTTTGCAGGTTAGTCGAAAAAACCAGGCTTTTGATAATGCTTACATAGAAGTCCTTGAATGGGGGTTTTTGGTCGGCTTCCGCATTTCAGAACACGCAGCTGACTTCCGACGATGGTTTGGGCAACGGCTCCCTCAAACCCTCAAAAACCCTCCCCCCGCCCCCCCCCTAACACAAACCGAGCTCCCCGCACACCCCTTCCAGAACTAGCCCAGAACCCCACCTAGGTACGCCGTACGACTGGGCATGTGGGGGTGGGATTGACTCGGAAACAGCATTTTTTAGCATTAGCGGGCGGACACACCGTAATTTAAAGCGTACCGGGGAAATGCCGCTTCACGACTTTCGCCGCTTCACGACTTTTCTCAGGGATATGCGAAACTGCTCCTAACAGAATCATAGTTTCCCTATTGACCCCCGAAAAACAATAGGGCAAACGACGAGCCTGCACTTCCATGTTAAGCACACGTGTTCTCCTTTACATGGAAGTGCAGGGCCCATTTTCAGGTTCTATGTTAGGATACTTTCGTCGGTCAGAGCGTGTGTTTTCACTCCCGTTTTTTCGTTTACATGGAAGTGCAGGCTCGAAACCGGCCCCCCGAAGAATCTAGGGTTGTTTTGGGAAACCCCAGGATTGCCGTGGCGAGGGGCACCTGGCCGCAGGAAAAGACGGTGAAGGGACTTCCATGTTAGAGGGACTTCTGAGAGCACGGACTTCCTGTTTAATTCCAGGGAGGGTACATCGAGGCTTGGTCTACTTTACGATGCTGGCACTAATGGTGGAGAACCTGCGCGAAGCCTCTTGGATTTACCCCGGCAACAGGTGCAATGGGTGCAGAACTGTCAAAGAATCCTTTAGAGGCTTTTATTGAACCAGCAATGTTTGCATTTATCGGTACTCGTTGCGTTGCCATCCACGTCAACTTTTCGTGCCTCACCTGCGAGTAAGCCGGGACAGGTTGCTGAACAACTCTGCGGAGGGACCCACAACTTTGTATGGTCCGTGGACAAGCGTGGAGCGGCTCATCCGCAAGCACGGCGTCTTTTCGCTTTTGCTGGCACTTGACCCACATCAAGAGGCTATTTCCTTGTTTAGCTGTGTTGAACATAAATATCTCCCTGCGTGCTTGGGTGTGTGTGTGTGTGTGTGCGCGGGTGCGTGTGCGTGTGCGTGTGCTTGTGTGTTTGTGTGTTTGTGTGTGTGTGTGTGTGTGTGTGTGTGCGCGGGTTCGTGTGCGTGTGCGCGGGTGCGTGTGCTTGTGTGCTTGTGTGCTTGTGTGCTTGTGTGCTTGTGTGCTTGTGTGTTTGTGTGTTTGTTTGTGTGTGTGTGTGCAGTGCACTGCGGGTCATGCTAGTCTGTAGTCAGACATAGTCTGAGTTATGATCACCGCAGACCTGCAGTTGCAGAGCATCGCAACCCCAGCCTTCAATACGGTGTCTAGCCTTCCTCCAAGTTCTCTCAAGGGGGGGTTAGGGGGCACGGACTTCATGCACAGTAGTTGTTAATTTCAGTTTGGTTCCGTTGGACACGTCATCCATCCGCTTCGCTTGAGATGTGGGGCTTGAAATTGGACTTTCTGCGCTGCAACAACTCATTGTAGAAGCTTTCCCCTCAGATTCGGCCAACTTTTCACTCGTCACTCTGTCCTCAGCTTCTTGAGCTCAGGTGACTGTGATGGCCGCCACCAACCTGCACAGAGATCGCGTGGCCGACAAGCTTCATGCCAAGGCCAGGTTTGCCATCCTTGGAGCCATAAAGCGAGCTCCATGTTCACAATGCTCGCAGTTGGACTATCCCATATTCAGATTGTTTGTACCAGCAGCTTCAGCTCAAAGTTTGCACACACACACACACATGCACAGACAGTAGAACACTGACACCCGATGCGCTGCAGCCAGCTTCTCAACTCGAGCAGGGCATTTTGGCACGACTGTCAATGGCCAATAGTTGGGTAATTCTCACACTGTCTCCGTCCCTTGCAAGCTCTGTGCATGTCTCGCTCGTTTCGCTTGGCCACGCAATCAAATGAGAATTGTGATGCTGTGGAATGTGAAGTTGCATGACACTTGGTGGCCTGATAGACTGAATGCAATTCGACTGGATACAGCAGCACATCTGACGGGACAATTGCATGCAACAAGCTTTGACATGTTTGAATGACAGCACTGCTGCACAACACAAATGGGGTCTGTGTCAGAATCAGCGCACTCTTTAAACCAACCTGAAAAGGATACCCTCAGAAAAGACAACTCATATTCAGCGGTACCTTGACCCGATTGGGGGAAGGCGCCAAAAGCCCGATGGCCTCTTCCTGGTTTCATCCAGGATCGTAGCTGTCAGGCATAGTTGAGTGGAGGAATCTGGACTGTATCAGCAAGAGTTTTCGAGGAAGAATCTGCATGGAGCCACATTCATTTCACGCGACAGGCCTTTTGTCACCAGCGCTAGCTGCGCTGCACGTTCTTCTTTCTCAATGGTGCCACTCCTGCTTTTGCGCAAAGGTTGGAAGAAGAATGCATCAGGTTTCAACCTTTGATCAGCGCCTAGCCAAAGGTTGCTTATGTTTGTGCAAAGGATTGACCAGTGAGCCGTCTCTTCACAGGCCATGGAGGAGATGTTTCAAGCCACAGACCTGCTGTCAGAGACAGGCTTCCCTGGACGGAACTGGAGCGGGTGCCGATTGGAAGGTTTCAGCACCTCCTTGGTTCAATCTGGTAGATACACCTGGACAAATCAATATGTGCCGAAGTCAAACATTCTTGCCATTTGCTCGTTGCTAGACGGTCGCATTGTTGTAAGTCTGTCAAGCTATCATCAGGCAAATCATTTGGAGCAGCCGAATACATCCCCCGCCTC